TTTTACAGTTTCTTAAGGGGTAACTCATCAAAGTAGAGCCCTTTCGGCGAAAATTCCGTCCGTTTGGCTCTCTCTTTAACCAATTAGGCACCACAGGGAGTTTTTGACTAAAATGATCGAAAAAGTGTACAGCCCTGCATGCTTAGTCGAAGAGACGGGAAGTTGACGGGCCAGAGGCCCATATCTTTGTATACATTTTTACGCTACCCGACTCGGGTGTCAGCGCCGCTGGTGTAGGTAGATGTATGCCAGGCGCGTCGCAGCGCAACAGTGTTTCGTTAGATATCGCGAAGCCTGTTACGCGAGACGTGGTCTGGCGTACATCTACCTAGTTGTAATTACATGGTGCTCAGGAGCTTTTCTTTCAGAAACTGAAAGTGACAGCAAATCATTTCATCTTTGAAATTGATAGGGAACCAAGATGGTTGATTGAATCCCTCACTGATGAGCTTATCATTATTTTTAGTACCAGATTTTGCACAATAATTTTTGCATGGCAAAAGCAGGTTGTTGTGATTTGATACTCAAACTCTGTATGGATTTGAGTTTGTCTTTCATGATTTTTTCTGCTCTATGCAACATTTCCCAAGAGCTACTACCAAGGTAAATTTTTAGTTGAACATTTTGACGTTCAACCTCGCGTTCAACACATACTGTGGTCAAACTTTTATTCTTTTCATGCATTTTAATACTAAGTGTCAGCCCACCAATAGTGAGCGGATCACAACTTGTTTTTGAATTTAATCCATTTTTGATGTGATTCAAAACTTCTCCGGATATAAGCTCATGGAATTCTTCCACGGATATTCTTATCCATAGCCTATTACCTTTGGAATTAGAATCTCCTATCAGCATGATGTACGCACTGTTAAAAATTTTAACATGATATTACGAACAAAGGGGAGTTAAATTTGTACTTTGATTTCGCTGTTTTCTCAAAACAACGATTTCCTCGTAAAATGACGAACTGTTTCACTCTCCGCAAAAAATGTTTTTTTTCGTAAAATAACGAACAATTCATGTTTCTTTCGCAAAATTATTCTTTTGAAAAGTTACAAACAGTTTGTTGATCTCTTCATAAACGACTTCTTCGTGTTTTTGAAATGAATAGACGCATTCTTAATTTGTTTCCTGTTGATGAGTTTAGGATGAAAGCCTTTCAGCCCTTTCACTGTTTGGATCTTCCCCATTCCCCTGCGCCTGCTCCTCTTCCAATTATTCATCTTCCTCATCCTCCTCTTCCTCGCATCCCTCCGGAACCACCCCCGACTCCCCGACGACTTCTTCACCCTCCTCTTTTTCTTAACTAACCTCCTCCTCCTCACCTTGCTTGCCCTTTTGCAGCCCTCGCCTTCCAAGTCTTCGGATGAAGATGAAATATCAACTACTAGGCCCTTGGGAGGCCTAAAGTCCACATCTGAACTACCGCCTTCCGTCAGATCCAGCTCCGCGAACGTCTTCCTCTTGTTTTCGTCGTCCTCGGAGTACGATAGGGCCGGTTCTGCATCCCAGGCCGCGTCCGACTCGTATTCGGAGTTGTCCTCCAATTGGTACAAATTGGGCCGGCTCTCGTATGGCTCGTCCTCCCTACAAAGAGCGACAAAATGAAATTTCAATCAAATTTTTAACCACCGTAAACTCAACTTCATTTAGTAAAGCATTTCAAAAAATAATAAATAAAAAAGGGCGGGAGGAACGTACCCTATCCTCTTGTGTACCGCTTTCCACTGCACGTATCTATTGGAGGGCCGACTCGTCTCGTCGCCCACCTCACAGAGGATCTCGGCCAACATGTTTTGAAAGATGTCCCCGATGGCCTTCATTTCCTTACGGGTAAAGTGCGCCGATAGCGTCTGCACGTGGGCGTCGAACTTTATCTCGTCAAGGATGCGAGGTCCACCCCCACAAAGGTTTTCCATCCTAGTGGCTGCGTCGTACACACCGTTCAGCTCGTTTAGTACAATATCAGCGTGCTCTTCATCAAGGTGCTCTATTACGAGCGTCTTCTTTTGGTGGAGCCACGGGCAGTACGGACACCGCCAAACGTTAAACGGAATTCGTTTCTTGGGGGTCTCGGATGGCCCAAACTGAAACAACAGAAGAATGAAAAGAAAAAGGATTAATTGTGTGACAAGATAAAATTTTGTGGACGGTAGCAAATGAAGAAAAGACCTTGGTTTCAAAATGACGATAAATGAACTTACGATTTGCCTGTGTATTATCTCGTGGGTCTTCTCGGGGAAAACCTCGCCTATCTTCTTTAGCTTCTTCCTCCCTTCTGCTCGAGACTTCCTGGGTGTCACCGGCCGCGCTTCACGGTCGTCCCCCCTCGTCGTCGTCGTTCTCGTGCTCGATGGGCGACCGGCTGCGGCGCTCGCGTTTCGCCCGAAGAACAAAGAAAAAGATTCAAATTGATGACAGCTGCGGGAGAGAATTAAATGATTGCGTTCAGAGGGGTACAGTACAACAGTGCTCACAGGGGCAATCTTGGCCGCAGGTGAAGCTGGGACGACCACCGGCTCCTTCTTCCTGGACGACGGGAGCTGCGGGAGTTAAAAGCAAAATGTAAACCACCGAAGTCTCGAAATGTTTCATTCTGAAGCCAAACGAAAAACAAAGAGACAAATGAAAAAGGGCTGATATTTACCACACGCGGAGTAGTGACAGAGAGCCTTTTCTTCGGCTTCGGGACATCCGCGTGCATCTTCTTGCTCCTCTCTGTTTCACCAGGCGAAGCGCTCTGAGATCTCTTCTTGGATCGCTCTCGACCCTGCTCAGCCTGCTTGACAATGGGGTCAATCTGAAACAAAATAAAATTTTATTAGAATTATGATCATTGCTGAATACTTTGGTAGAACATGAAAAGAATAGATTCACTTACCACGATGGCCACACGGCCTGACGCCGCCGCCTCTTGCCTCCACCTCTCCAGTTGTGCAGGCTGGGGTTGTGCAAGCTGGGGTTGTGCAGGCTGGGGTTGTCGCTGTTGCTGTTGCTGCGCGCCAGCTCCGCGAATCTCTTCAATTCTGAGTCGAAGGTCCCCAACGGGGGGAGTTGAGGGCCCCGGCTGAGGGTGGTGCCATTGCGGGGCAAGAGCGGGAGCGGGGGCGGGAGCGGGTGCTTCCTCCTAAAACAAACACATATGGTTAGAAACCAATAAAACACATATGCCAAGGAAATGAAAAGCTAACGTGCTGAAACTTACAAGCGCCACCCACTCGTCCTCCTCCATGCGGCGCTCCGCCCACGGCACCACGAGGTTGAGGGTCGGCGGGGTTGGGGGGCGAGCCGCCCTTTCATTCATGAAAAACCATTGTAACAAAACGCATCAATGTAAAAAACATTCACACAAGTATAATGACACGACGATATCACATGAACTCACATTGGCCATGGCTTCTTCACTCCCCGCAGGGGAGGGTGGCGGGGGGGCCAACGGCCCGGGGGAGGCGATGTGTGGTGTGCCTGCGGCCCCAGGGGCTTCGAAGGATACACGGCTCTGAAATCGCGTTCATAACAAGCTAGGCCCGCTCTTCCGCCAAACCAAGTGGCCAGCTCCGCTTCGCTCCACCGGCAACTCGGTTCGGGAGGGAGCGGGCCCAGCTTGGCCTGCCGGCGGCGTTTGGGACGGGCCTTCGGCCCGTCCCCTCTGAATTTTCATGGTGTAATACATCTTTTATCCGAGAACGGGCCTCCGGCCCGTTGGAGTGACGGCTCGCGTTGGACCATCTTTTTGCCAGGTACCTTTTCTGTCCACTTCGTAATTAAAATTCAACAAACGAAGTATTCTTTTCATACGCTGAACATCTTTGGCTGTGTGTGCCGTAGTTTGTAGAATACATGCAAGTTGTGCCAAATCCCTTCTAAGTTATTGATGTTAGCTTATGAATCAAATAACACACC